GTGAAAGCAACTTTGTTACTGAACACATTTTGGAACAACATATGCTGCCCTCTAGACGCCATCTTTTTCAGGGACATCCATGCTTATTTCAGCATGACATTCTGCACGTGCAACAACAGCATGCCGGTGTGTGCAGGTGCTAGACTGGCCTGACTGCAGTCCAGACCTGATTCACACTGAAGACTCTCAAAATACGCCAAGAAGGCCCTGTATGGTTGCACAGCTGAAGACATATATATAAAAAGAAAGGCAAAAAATTACTCTTTCAGATTGTGTTCTCAGTCCCCGAGTGTTTATTTGTTAAGTTGTTAAGTGGAAAGGTGATGAACACGATGGTAAATATGCTTTCTTAGCTTTCTTTTAATTATTTGAAACCAATAAAATTGCACAGAGTAAATATATCATTATTTTATTATTTGAAAACAATGATTCTGAACTTTTGAAACGTAACATGCTGACAACAAGCTAACAAGTTTTCTCAGTCTTTAGTACACATTCTGTTGTTGACTTTACCTTTGTCGCAGTTCCGTCCCTCAAACCTGGGTGGACATATGCAGATGTAAGTATTGACATGACTGACACAGGTGGACCCATTTGTACACGGCTTTGATTTACAGTAGTCTGGCTCTGCAGAGAAAGCAACATTCAAAATACGAATCAAGCCAAAAATGGAGAAGGATGGAGGAATGATTTCAGTTTGGTCATGTTCACCAACGGTTAATACTGTACCTGTGTATGACTTCCAGAACTCATTCTGAAAAAAAGAAACATAATTGAAAGATTTGCTCTTCAGGTCCAGTTTTGTTTTTTGTATTTACAGTGCTTAGTTTCACTAATGCAGTAAAGTTGGGGAATAACCCAATAATTTTACTAAACCTGGGCTATCCTCACATTACATGAAGTGGCACAAATCTAATTTTTGCCATAATGTGACCCAGATATGGTGTTTTTAGAGTAGTGTGAACATAAAAATCAGATTTATTTAAATCACATTAGAATCCTTGTGTGTTTTGACTGACAAAAGTGTTTTGTAAGTCCTTGGGATCTATTTTAGTGCCTGTGCAAGTGAAATCTAAAGGTATAATGTGGTATGTTACCAATTTCGGTGGATGCAGGCCCATTCATGCCCATTTGCTTTGGTGTTTTGGTGGTGTGGGTGGAGTGACAACATGTGGGGTGATATTAAAAATTGACCAGTACGAGGATATTTTTGAGCCCATTTCAGTCAATGCATTTTCATTACTGCCTCTTCAGACATATTCTTATTGCAACCGTAAGTGCAAAAACAGTATTTACCTGACTTCAAGCACAGGCTTAAAGACTTGTCCAACACAGCTCTCACAGCGCGATTTTGTGAATAAATACTATTTTCACCACCCCACTAAAATATAAATAGGTAAGTTCTTCCAACTACTAACTAAATGATCTCACTAATTTTGGAACAAATGAGGAAAAACAACAAAAAGTTGTAGATATTAAATATAAATCAGACGGTTTGTATGTCAATACAAACAGAACATTACATAAGTATTAGAATCAATGGAATGTTTAAAAAAAATAAAATCTGGCAAATCTGGCTTTAACAGGCTAAACCACGTTCAAAGCCATTTTAAATAGCTCTTTTTTTCCTTTCAGTGTTTGAGGGTTTGCTCCCTCAAATTTCAGTCTTCATGTTCTAAGTTGAGTCAGTGAAGCTTCAGTAAGCCTTAATGAACTTGTGCTGTAGTGAAGCTGTAGCATGTTAAGCTACTACGTCTTCTGAAAATTTATTCACTCTAACTCCACTCGTTTACAGCTGCGCTGACTTAAAGCCTGTGGTGTCAGCCATGAAAGTACTAAAAATATATTTACCACACCGACATGTGCCAGCGTTGCGATTTACACCTCGTTTGGCGCTATAACCACAGAAATAGGTGAAGCCCTTGTTTGTGAACATACAGTCAGTGCTAACAAAACAAACTATCTAAAGCAGCTGCTTTAGTTTCTGCTGTGAAGATGCTTTTGATTAGGCGGTCCTTCACTGTTGTCACGGACACATGGTGATACTTTAGAGTTGACATTACAAGTCCTATGTGGTATTTTGAGAGATCGGATCAACGAGACACATTGGAGTCTCTTCACACTTAGCACTGTCCCCTTATGATCAGATTACATAGGATGCATATTAAAGCCAGGTGTGAAGGGGCCTGTAATGAGAGCGGTCAGATCAAAATTCATGTGCGTATTACTGAGAGATGTTCAGCTAATAATTTTTGCGATGGAGCCTTGTTTGTTCATTTGTTGATGTTGTAGGAACCCCCTTATAAACACATTTGTGAAACATCAAGACAGAAAGATCAGATCTCAACAATGAGGCTTGTAATGTGAACGTAGCCATTGTGTGCTGAAGTAATAATTGTAGCTCTGCCCACCAGTTGTTCAGGGACAGAGAAGATCTCCCTGGCCTCCTCATAGGAACATTTCTCCTCCAGACACTCCCTCTCCAAGTTCCCTACTTTCAGCTCCTCCAGGAAGGAGTTGGCGCGCCGATAGCGATGCAGAAGCACCTGACTGGCTTCAGTCCTGCTGAGAAACACTGGATCTGACATGCATGGAAAGCCATAAAGGAGATAAAGAGAGATGGGTTCAGTTTATATGGTGAAGAAATTAATTACCTTTTTTCAGGTTTTCTTTAGAAATGGGTCGAAAGAAGAGGGTGGCATGTGGCAAACTTGGGTTCTGAGTAGACTGAGTGTATGTGCAGGTATCTTCAGTAACACTCTTGGAGATTTGCCATCCTATAGAGTTTAGCTAGAATTGTACTTGTTTGCACCTGATCCATTCTTCTGGGTGGTGGAATCACATTTAGGCTTTGTTCTCACTGCAGGGCAAGTCAGATTTGTATGTATGGTCTGATATGTATGGTCAGACTGTAGTCGCTTTTGCTTGCATGTCCACATTGGTTTGTCATTTGCATATATTGACTAGGGAGGGAAAAAACTTAGCTAACGATGATGCCTAGCTAACAGAACAATCATGCTATATTTCACTACAGCGTTTACTTTTTATTATCTACAGCATGAACAGAGCATGACATTAGTTTAGGTTGACCTGGTCAACAGGCGGCTAATAAGCTACAGGCTGTATTAGTAAAATTCAGAGACAGACTTTAAGTTCAAATCTTTTAATGAAGCAGTTACAGTGAACTACAACATATGAAGTGAAAAATATGTTTCCTAAGTGTCTGTTGAAGCTTCCACCTTCCGTGTTTAGGCTGTAATATGTGAATGTGCACAACTTTCTCATCTTAAGTTGTGATGTCATAAAACCGCTGCACCCAGGGTGAGAACAAAAAAACACATGAAATCTGACATGGCTTCAATCTGATGCCATTCAGACTACGGAAAATCTGTCCTGCTCAAATTGGATATGCCAAAAAAATTTATTTGAGCTGCCTGTCTAAACAAGTGATTGTGACAAAAATTGGTTTCAGGCTTTCAAGTGTGGGGAAATATTTCATGAAAGAAGCTAAACTGGTGTTATTAGTGTAAATGATTCTCCTTATTTTACAAGGCTGGATTGTTGTGTTTTAATAGTGTAAAAATGCAAGTGGATACTCAGATTTCTTTACAAAGGAATAAGGAACAAGGGGGTCATGATGTCTACAATGCAAATTTTATTATACCATTTTATTCACTGTTCAAATGGCCAGTGAACCTACATGTGTTTTCTGAGTTTTACATTTGATGCTGATGATGGTGAAATAGTGATAAATCTGAAAAAAATAGTTTTGCCATACAACACTACTCAGGTATCTCTCTGTGTGAGGGGGCATTTAGAGGTACTAAACTTTGGATATCCTCTCATCACAACTGTGAACAATTCTGCATTTCATATCAAAACACTATGAATGACTTTGTTCACATCTCAACACCTGAATTACGCAGAAGTTGGAATTCTACTCTAAATACATTTTAATATGTCAAATTATTTTAATTAATGATTTTTATGTTGAGTCTGTGGAGGAAGTGTTCATGTTCAGAATTTGCAACTAATCTATAATGTGCACTGTAAAAATGATTCAGAGTTTTAGCTTAAAAAAGTAAGTAACCTGCCTGCCTTCAAATTTTATTCTTATTGAGTTATCAGAAAGTAATACACATAAATTCTGTTCTGATAATTTACTTTTCATGTTCAATGAACTTGAAAATTTAAGACAGACAGTTTTCTGACTTTTTTAAGTCAAAATAAGACATTTTTAACAGTGCATTTTTGTGCATTTCTCAATAAGCTACAGTGGAGAGTCATAGAGAGAAACAGAGTAGGCTGTTTAAACATGACTAACAGACACAGACAATAAGAAATCTTACTAAGAGACCAGTCAATGAGCTATAAGTAGAGACGTGGTTTGGCAAGCGTGGTTGTGACTCGTGTGCTCTTTAGACTACCACTCATACCCTTTTCTGGATGTATATAACTTAAGAGAGAAGCGAGAGCTTACCTGCCGGAATCCCAAAGCAGGCTGGGATACTGAGCAGTGTGATTAAGTGGCAAAGCTTCATTCCGCCTGGGCTCAACTCCATTATGCTGTTTCTGGTCTAAGGGCTTTGATCAAAGTTCAGTTCCGCCCCTCTTCAAAATCATCGGGATGAACATGTGCCTGAAAACCAAACGGGGGTTGGCTTGGGGACTACATAATACTTTAGACAAAAAGAATATTCTTTATCACTTGATTCAGCAGTAGATGGTGCCATTTTTCCGGTGAACCGGTATGGCAGTGCAGTACTGTAGCGGTAACCTCATCCACCCATTCATATGTGAATGATATACTATCAGTTGAATTTAGAGGATAATGTAAGCATATATGTTTGGGGCTATAATATCATAATATGGAGTTATGCAAAATCAATTTAACCATAATATTTCCTTTACACTCTGTTAAAACAGGGTTTGAACATCCTGACAGAATCTAAAATTTGAGGTAGAATGATAACAGTATTGAATGACAAAACACAAAAATATTCAGTCACAAAAGGATTCATTAATTTATTATGTTTCTTAAGTACATACAACTGAAAGTGCTTCGGGACAAGAATGATTAGTATATATCTTTTAAAGACAGAGTAGATAATCAAAGCACCAATGATCATAATATTTAGTTAATTCTGAAATTTTGAGGGTATAATTGCCCAACATAAATTAGTTCTACCGGTTTAATTAATTGTACAAACAATCTAATCTCAGATTCCTAAATAATAATATGTTATAGTCAGGCATTGCACTCAAATGATCAAACAAACATATTACAATTTCAAGTTATGTCCTCATTGTGCCATTCAACTCGGAAAATCAAGCATTATAAATGTCAGCAACAGACTACTACCCAGAATTATCAATGAATATAAACAAATTACAAAATAATTGGTGCATCAAAATCAATAATAATGTGCATAATGATATGTAAACTGCATGCATATGTATAAATAAAATAGCTTATGCAGTGTCGTAAAAAACATACAATACATGGTTATTATTTACTATATTCATTAAGAAAGATATAAAGTGCTAAAAGAGTTGAAGGCATGATAAAATATTCAAAGAAATGGTGCTTTTAAGGTGTTATTGTTATCATATTACATACTACTACCAAAACAGACTATCCAATTATCTGTCTATTCAGCACTGACCAAGTCCGTCCAATAATGAACTACAAAAACTGTGTTTGTTCTTTCTTATAGCTTGTTTTTTGTATCAAATCTAGGTTAAATTTCATATTCAAATCAAGCATGTTTCTGCGAAAGGAAGGTGCCACAGTGGAGGTTGGAAACCACATATCCTCGTGGGCTCCATTTCCTGTGTAACTGATGTGAACACGTATCAGAATGTGAGAGCATGTGCGCAAACAGATTAAAAACAATTTAAAAGCAGCAGGGAAAAACAGAGAAAACTTCAACATCAGCCTTTATGGCAGGTTCTTCAGGATATTATGAATTTCCTCCTTTGCTCTCCTCAGGCCATCCTTCCAGTCTTGAGGAATGGCTTCACCAGCATATCCAGCCCTGGCCCCCAGGAGAGCCCCTAGAGCTGCACCTCTGTTACAGTTCTCACCTAAAGAAATTGTGCACATTAGAGAAGCTGCAATATAGAATATTTGGGCTAGTAGCGACAATTGATAATGAACACTTTATTGTGGCTGATACCGATAACCAATAACTGAATTGTTTTGCCTTTTAACACTGTAATCCATGTATGTAATGCAGTGAGTGTAAGACAGGTTAAAACTCTACAGGTCGATCATTAATTAATTTTACATGGCTACAACACGGCCAAATCAGACATGGCAATTATTGTAAGTATATTATTTAATGTAAATATTATTTAGCAGACACTCCAGAGTCTTACAGTGGGTGAATCCATTCTTTAGCACTAACGACTACACTTGTGTCAGTGCATTTGCAAGCAGAAAACTGGCGCTAAATTACTGATTGTAATTATCAGAGGAGATTACTGCCGATAGTTATGATGAAATGCTTGGTGAGCAACTGATATAACCGATGGAGCATTCCTGTGCCTGTGTATCATGGAAGGGTGTGTGGCAGATCTGTTTTTTGAACAGAAATTAGCCTTAGAAGGTGTTGCTTTGTGATAAGCCCCCTAGTAAATAACAAATTAAGTTTACACTGGTTCAGTGTCATGTTCAAATGTGATGGTCTTTAACCACGTTTTCTTACTTGCTGACAAAATTTCTTGCTCACTGGCAAATCTGGAACTTGTCAGTACAATCTGTGGCCATATAATGTTTCGTTAAAAGAACGGCAACGCTACAGATTTAGAGCAATGGTAAAACAAACTTGACTATACTTCTGCGCTAATGTAAATGTAACCAATCAAGTAGTCGTCAACAAGCAAAGGCAAACTACCATCGTGTTCTGGGAATAGATTAAAAACACTGTGGCATCTTGACGATGCCTGGCCCCGCCTACCAAGAAAAACTTCCGCAGTCCATGCATGTAATATGTGAACAAGTTACCTACAACTATACAAGGATGCAGACGCACCAACTTCTCAGAACTGCATTTATATTATACATCAAATAAAGAAAACCCAACACCATGTTATTTGTACATCATTGACTAAGTATGCAAACCGAAAGACACAAAAACACTCATTTCACCACTCACCACCACAGTTGGTGTTGACTAGGATTCCCCCCTTCACGTCATTGTGAAAGACATAAGCCAAATAGAAAAGACTGCTAAGAGCACCTGCGGAGCACAAATAATGAAGGGTTATGAGCGTCACTCGTCTCCATAAAATGGAAAGAATCGCTTCATTTCACCAGAAAAAGGCTGATATGAAAAACAGCACCCAAAAGTGAAAAACAGTGCCCCAACAAAAGTTTTTGAAATGATGTTTTTCCACTTGTTGCAAAAAGAGTGCTGAGGTTTATTTTTGCACTTTGAGTTGTGTTCGTCGCTTTTTTTAGTGGCTGTAGACTTAAAACCACAAGAGAGGAGCACCAGCCTTCCCAAGAACTTATCACACACGCAGTCACATGAGTAGAAAACTCAGAATCAGAGATCTAAAACAGATTTCTCATTAAGTGGTCTGTTTTTGTATCATTAAAACTGATGACGCTAAAAGCACATTAACAGATCTTCACTACATTGACAGTTTATTTAGTACACTGACCTTGTACCCACATTCAGTGGCCATTCTATCAGCTAAACCTACAATATTGGTTCTTTTTGTAGGTTTATGATTACTGACTTTAGCCCCTCTGTCGATGTACATTTTATTAGCCATCCCCACTCATTCAGCGAAAAGGGATCACTATAGGACTGACGCTGACCAGATATTATTTGGGTGGTGGACTATTCTCAGCACAGCAGTGACACTAGTGGCATGCCACTGGATGCTGCGCTGGTGTACGTTTTGTACCTCAGAGAGCATCTATATATGGTAAGTGTAGCTGATCAATTGCCATGACCAGAATGTGACAGCAGTTTTTTATGGTGGGTACAGAATAAAGGCACACCTTTTGTGTAGCAGGCCAGGCCAAGTGCTTCTGCAGCCTTCTGGTGGACCTTCAGTCTCTCCTCTGAAGAGTTTGGAAACCTATAGCACAGTGCAGACCATGCGTACATACAACACTTTACAAACTGAAATGACTTTATAAACTGCTTAAAACGGTTAGTCTTTCTGCACATTACAATACTTAAGAGAAAAACATTATTTTTAATAATAAAATTTATCATCCATTGCTCTAGTCCAGGGCTTCCCGGTCCTGGTGACTCTACACTGTATCACACCTGATTCAACTGATTAACTATTCAACAAAATCCTTCTGTGCTGAGTCAAGTGTTTTAGAGGAGAGAAAGCATGCAGAGCTTGGGGATACCAGGACTAGGATTGGGAACCACTGCTCTATACACTAAATGCAATGTATGGTTTTGATGTACTTACAGTCAAGTTTCGAACAGTCGTCGGCACAAATACTCTTAAAGTGGGCACAACCTCAAACTTGTTGTTGACTGGCAAGCAAAGGGATTTTTATTGTTAACTGGTATTGTCTTTACTAGCCTACAGTCTACATTGTATTTTGAATGTTTTTTGAACTGCCGTGAGTATTTGTGAGATGTTATCAGACTTAATTGTCGATTCAGTTTTATAATAGTTTAATGAGTCTTAGTGTTATCAGCTACTGGTTAAAGTTACTCTAACTACACAGGCTAATTTATTGAGTATTTTGTCACTAAAGCTTCACCTTTGAGGTTCTCAAGGACATCGTTAATAAAAGCGACCTGCTCCATGTTATGGCGAATCTGATTTGGGTTCCATATTTGTCCATTTTAATTAACAATGTAATTTGATCATTTTTGACCCGATTCTGCAAGTGTGACAATATGTTGCAGGCCCCAAAAATGTCCTTGTGCATCCACTGGTGTAGAATCTCATGCTGTTTTGATCTGATTAGGAGATTTTCTTTAAGTACCTCTCTGCCTTGTGTATGTAGTGCTGGCAAGTGTCCCAGGCATTGAGAGCAGGAGATTTGAGGGCCTGCTCAACCTGCTGCTTCAGACAGGCTCCGTTCAGGGTGGCATGGAGCGCACGAGCATACAAGGCCACAAATGTGTCCAGCTTTGGGTAAGGATGGGTGAGCTTCACAAACTCTACTGCAGCAGACACCTGAGCAAATTCCAAAAAAAGGTCAAAAATTAAAATGAGATGAATTCTTCCTGACGTTGGGGCGGTTTATGGCCACAATAAGCTTAATCTATTAAGAAATCTTAACACAGTTTGTTAGGTTAAGGATACTATGATATTAGAAATAATTATTTTTTGACATTTTACCTCATGCTAATGTAAGCTTATGTATATAATACACTCATGGAATTACACTTGAATTACACTAACCGCTTTGTCCTCATTGGCTGTAACAGAGAGCAGTACAAAAGGGATGGCCATTGGAAGGCAGCCAATAGCATTAAGCTGACTGTCAGGGAAGGATGTATTGATCATCTCTTTACAGCGTTTCTCTGCAAAGTCCAAGACCTAGGACAGTAAAATGAACAGGATAGATTTAATGGACCTATACTTGTTCTGTCCACAAATGTACTCTAGCTACTGTTACTAGGTTTGACAACTTTCTAGAACGCTGGCAAAAATCACATTCAACCCAAAAGGAATATGTCAAAATGCATAAATTATTCACACTGGAGTCCTATGACGTTTGTATAAAGTCTTCAAGTCTTCATTACAAAATGTTGAGTTTACAGTTTAAAATGCTAGCTAGACTGTCTTGTTGTCACATCACATCTGAGCTATTCTAACATTATGACCTTTTACATACATACACAATAAATACCCTTTCAATTAATAAAGCATTCTTTGCGTATTGTGACAATTCATTTTGCAATTCTTTAGGTTGAGATTTTTGCTAATGTTCTATAAAGCTTTGCTAATCCAGTAATAAACAGTTGCTATCAAAGAATGTATTTGTGGAAGGAACAAGCAAAAAACATCAGTGGCATCTTGGATGGTACAGCTGTTTAAAGATCAACCATCTAGTAAGCGTACCTTAATGGGTGATGTAGGGCGCAGCTCCTGCCAGTCAGAGAAGAAGGATCGATGAAATGACTCAGCGTAGGTGTCGCTGTGACTGCCAGGGGTGGTCAGGAAATGTACATAGTCAGAGAGTACAGCTGCCCTCGCTGCAGGTTCAGCAATACTGACAAAGTGCCCTGAAGAAAGAACCTGAGCGACCCTTAAAGCGCAAAGTAAATTCAGTGTATTCTCTCCTGCCTGCAGACCTACAAAAGAGTAAAACAAAGAGGATCCCTGTTTAAACAGAGACAGCAACGTGTGAGAAACGCTTTTTCTGTATTCCTTCCAAATTATGTCTGAAAATCAAATTTGGCTGCAGTTTTGCCGTTAATAAAGATACAGTTGTTATATCCTAGACTACGCTGTAAATTTAAAATCTATTCAAGTACAAGCATTCATTAAAGAGCCATACGTGTAAAGACGCTGCCAGCAATAATAAAAGCATGGTGCAAAAATACACATATATGTTATACATATATATGTTATACATATTATTTTTATATTTTACCATTTTGAAATCATAAGAAACTGGAAAAGTGAGAAGAAAATGACAGTAATGACTCTAGACTTTAGTCATTCTGATTGAGGTTTACCTTGATGGTAGTGCACTGAGCCTTTAGGGGCTTTCCAGTACTTCAGTTTGTCATGGAGGATGACATTCCCCACCACGGGAGGTTTGTTGGCAGATAACGAGGCTGTGCGCCCACTGCCAGCTAAAACCAAGTCAGAGACAGCCAAAGACGGAGTTTGTTTGAAATGGCAACCCAAACAAACAACATACTAATGTTTGTCACTTTGCAAATGTAAAAAATAAATGAATTAAGCAGCTGACGAATGCCAAGCACCTGCATTGGAGAGGGTGAGAATACTTGAAGGATGCTGTTCTTTAGGTGCACTGAATTCTGTAATCCAGCCGTTGAAATCATTTTGGATGTCCTGGACATTGTAGTACCAGTGAACTGGCATAGACATGGCATCTGCTGCACACATCCCCCAGAAAGCTTCACAAACTGATCTGCACACCTGAGCCTTCATGATCGGTCAAACAGATCTGAAAATAAGTGTTTTCTGAAAATGAGTATAAGCACATGCATGTGTATAAAACTGATGTTGAAGGAAAGACCGACACTGTCGACATTTTCAGTACTGCAGCAAAAGTGACACAGGGACGATTACAAACCCTTACAAAAAAGATCTACAGTAATATCATATGAAATTAATATTGGTTTTACTATTACTTTCATATCGCTGTGGTTGGAACAAAACCTTGTGCCGTTCTTCAGTTTTTGACAAAATGCCTGTTGCCCTTTACATTGTGTTTAAAGTTCATGAAGAATGGACCAAAAGAAACGGCTCAAAAATTCTTGGAAAAAGTCTGGTCCTTTGACTTACATTAAAAGTAAAGTAGTTTTTTTCCGTCTCCTGTAAGGTTACCATTTTGGAGATACAAGGTTTTGTTCCAACAGCAGGGATATGTTTTTTTATATATAGCACCTTTTTGTTATATTATATTTTATTATATTACATTATATTATTTTTTATACATTTTATATAGTCTCTGTTGGTACAAAACCTTTGTCATTTGTGTTTTACATAATTTGAAAACACCAACAGCCATTTACACTGTATCAGAATTCCCTGGTGAACAGACCGATAGAAAGACTTTTCTTCTCCTGTAAAGCAACTTTTTTGGAGACGTGAATTTTGTTCCAACAGCTACGATAAAATATGTCCACCTGCATATACACTGCAAAAAATATATATCTTATAAATGAACTGCTAACAATCAATTGGAAAATTATATACATGATTTAAACTAAATATCTTCACGTTGAACATTTCATATAGATGATTCTAACTTCTTAAGATCTAATTCAATAGGAATTTCTATAGGATTCCTATAAGAATATTATAGTTAATACAGACAGTTACCACAGTTTACTACAGTGCACCACACACGAATTATAGATTATTATTAGACAGTGTTACAGACATGACATATTGGCAAGTGAAAACTTCTTAAATCTAGTCAATGTATCTAATGCTCTGCATTATGGCGCTGTTGTATAATAAGCATAATAATTGTTATTACTTGTTTTGAGTAATTCTATGTAATGAAAGTGTTATTTGAAACAAGTAAAATTATATGCCAAAGGAATAAGACTAGATATAATTACTTAAAACTAGTAAAAATAATAGAAGTTAAACAATCTCATAGTAAGAAATATTAAATACAATGACTACATTTAAGATGTTTTCACTTGCCAATATGTCATGTCTGTAACGCTGACTAATAACAATCTATAGTTCGTGTGTGGTGCACTGTAGTAAACTGTGGTAACTGTCTGTATTAACTATAATATTCTTATAGGAATCCTATAGAAATTCCTATTGAATTAGATCTTCATAGAAGCTGGAATCATCTATATGAAATAGACAATATGTGAAGATATTTGGTTTAAATCATATATATAATTTTCCAGTTGATCGTTCACAGTTATACCTCATTTATAAGATAGAACTGCAAAGTTGCCTCTGAATGTCTGAACCCCCTGCTGTAAAAAGACCATTAACCACTGGAAGTAAAACCTGATGGTTTTGCTTTCTAATGGGAATTGGCTTAATGGTTACCCTTTGACACCACTAGTTTCCTGTAGGATACACCTGGTCTCAGTCCCAGAACACCTGTCAAACCAGAGTCCTTTACGCTGTGATATCAACCCATCACGAAAACACAAAATACCATTAGTGACTATTGGACTCCACCAGAAACCAGCAGAAACTTTTAAGGGTTTCTTTGACTTTCAGCAGGGGGGCCTGAACCTTCCTTCAGCGTTTTAGCTACAAAAACTACAAAAAATAAATGCAGAAGGTAACAGTCCATCTGAAATACGGCAGGGTGCCTTTAAGGCAAACGGCTCACCAAAAGCAGCGCTGTTCTTAGTTTCCTTCTGCAGTTTCTCCTCTGCTGCCCCCAGACTGACCACCTGCTTCGGCCTCGCTCTCTTCACGGACGGCTGTGTGTCCGTCCACGTTACAAAACGCTCAATTACACATGAGGCTGAAGTTGGCTTCCTATTCGCCGGCTTCTTGTTATAATTATCCCGTTCCACCTTAAATGGTGCTGCAGTGCCGTTCTCACGCCTGTCCACCATTTAGGTAACTGGGCTACTGCTGCATCATTTAAGGTGGAACGGGACAATTCGAAAAAGAAACTGACTTCAGCTTCGTCTGTTATACAAAGCGCTGTTGCGCTGTTGCGTAAGTTCATTGACGTTACGAAACACCGCAGGTAGTGCAAGAAATAAGGACTTGAATGTGTTCAAGGACTTATTCACCACTTGATGCCATGCAGTAATGTCGTTACTGTACGGTGCGTCTCAGTGGAGAAGAGCGACATAAACACAAAATGAATTAAAAATAGGTTAAGATCAGTAACAGACGAGCTTAGCTGCATACTCCTGTAAACCACTCACAATAAGGGTTTTATAAGAAAGGTCAGAGCGGCGACCAGGTCTGTATATAGCATTTTTTGTTATTAAGTAATATGTTAGTATGTTTACCTACATACAAGTTTAAAATGATCTATAAGCGTTGAGTAATCGACTACATCGGTGATCAACTGCTTTGGTCCGTTGGTGTGACGTAGCCTTAGGAAGCGACGCACGGCTCTCGACTCCTGTGGCTGAATCGACGGAGTCGACTCCTCGACTCCACTCAGTCTAAAACCTCGAGCTGGAGCTTCGAGGCGTCGCTGCAGTCACGAGTCTGTGAAAGTAAACCGGCTTTAACGTACAGTCTTCACTCCGGAGCAGCTGAATGTGATCCTGTTCCTGTTATCATGATGCTGAATTTGTCGTATTCGCCAGTTTCGTATTCGAATTTTCCGTTCCACCTTAAATGATGCAGAAGTTACCTACATGGTGGACAGGCGCGAGAATGGAACTGCAGCATCATTTAAGGTGGAACGGAAAATTTGAATAAGAAGCAGGCAAAAAACATGACAACGTCAGCCTTTTTTTCCCCACAACGTTATGTGAAAAATGCTGTTTATTTTTATTTTCGTTCCCTGTAGAGCTTCAAATGGTCGTTTGTTAGTCATGGTGGGAGCCCGTTTCTGCCACTGGAAAAAATATATAGCCATTAAGAAAAGTCATAATAATTAGAAAATTTTCTATAATTATGGCTTAGTATCTCATAGTCATGACACGGTTTTCTCATAATTGTGAGAAGGCTATTTATAATTATGACACAATAAGTCATGAGATACGTCATAATTATGACAGTCATCATTATAAGATGCTAAGTGATAATTATGAGATACATACATACATACATACATACATACATCATCTAAACCGCTTATCCTGGGTCACGGTGGGGTGCTGGAGCCTATCCCAGCTGTCATTCGGCAGAAGGCAGGATACACCCTGGACAGGTTGCCAGTCCATCGCAGGGCAAATTATGAGATAGTAAGTCGTAATTATGACACTGTAAGATAGAATCCCATTATTATGTATTATTATTAGATTTTAAGTCATAATTATGAGATATTAAGTCATAATTATGGAAAACGTATGACTTAATAATAAATAGCTGTATATTTTGTCCAGTGGTGAAAACGGGCTTTCGTAGAATGTCCCTTTAGCTAGTTACAAAAAAGTCGAAGAATCGACTCCAAGCGCTTCGACTCTCAGAGTCACTGGCCAAGAGTTGGCCCTGAAGAATCGACTCTTTTGTAATCGACTCCCAATTACTAGCGTTATGACCAAAACACCGCGCTGCATTGTGGGAGGACCTCGCGGCTGTTTCATTCAAGAGGAAGAAACATGGTTTTAGTTAACCTATATTTCCCACTGTGAACCAGTTACTGTAGAACATCTAATTCTTTGCTTTTAATCCAAACTACATCACAGAAACGAAGCACACAGCAAAGCTGACTGTAATGTTGTGGTGTTTTCAACGTTAGCGGCTAAAGAGTTAGCAGGCTGTCTGAACGAGTTATGAGAGTTGGCCATGGAATAATTTGCAGTCTAAATAGATTTATTTTAGTAACTGGACGCAAACCGAATGCAGGACAGTAAAATCTGGACTGATATCAGTGACATTTCCCCCCACACTTTCATTCGGTTCAAAGTAATCCAGCTAGATAGCTGGCTACCTAGCTAGCTGTTGTTATTTCTGCTGTTAGTTAATCAGATTTTGTCTGAAACGGCACAACACATCGGTTAAATGGACGAGTCAGATGTTGGTAAGCTGTTGTTTGTTTAATTTAAGTTCGTAATATAGTGTAATGATTGTAAACATGTATTATCGACAGTACAGGAACCTTCTCGTCTGTAGGTTAGCTAACTTCTGAGATTTTGACCACCATCACAAATGTAGGCTGTGGCAGTGTAGCCAAACCCTTTAACCTGTTTCCATTAGTAATCCCTGCTGGAAGAAGACCATAGAGATTAAAACCTGATAGTTTTGCTTTCTAATGGGAATTGGCTTAATGGTTACCATTAGAGACCACTAGTTTCCTGTAGGAAACCATCATATGCATCTGGGACCAGTCTTAGAACACCAGTTAAACCATTAGAATCCTTTACAACAGTGTTTTTCAACCCTGGTCCTGGAGGCCCACTGTCCTGCACATTTTAGGGCTTTTCCTGCCTTAACATACCCACCTTAACTCAGCAGTGGGCTGTTAATGAGCTGATTAGTTGGATCCGGTGTGTTGGGAGCAGGGCAGTGGGCCTCCAGGACTGAGAAACACTGCCTTAGTGTTACCTGAGAGAAGTGACAGCTTGTTGCAACTGAACTGCAGGAAAATAGATCCCCAGGAGGAGGGCTGGTGAACGCTGCTTTACACCGTGATACCAACCCATTCAGGAAAACCAAAAATACCATTAGTGACTAATGTTAATAATGTATATTATTACTGCTCCATATGAATCCAGATTCTAAGATCAAGATTTGACTCAATTTTTAATATTTTATGTTTCTAGTGTCTTGATTGCACTGAGTTTTAAAGACATGCTCCACAGATTGATTTGATTGAGTTATAATGATCCTATAAAACAGCACAACTGAGCTATAAACAATGCAAAAATAGATAGGATGCCCCATAGTTTTGATGGCAGTTTCCACAAGACAGTAAGAGAGATGCTTGGAAGATACCGAGAAGCCTACTGCCTGTGATTTTAAAATTAAGTACACTGTTTTAAATGCTCTTTTTCAAAACTCAATACTGTAGTAAAATTGGTACACCCTTCATTTTTAGTGTGGAGAATTACATGAGCCATCACTGTCAACACATAAGATGTCCAAACTGCTGTATCTATCCAGACACAGAAGCCTTATAAATACGCCATCAGCAGCAGTAGTAGTAGTTTTAAATTACATGTCACATTTAGGGTGAAAGTGGCTAAATCAATTCATCATCTAATTAAAAACATGTAAAAAGGGAATAGATTCAATTATTGCAAAGAAGAATATGTCTTGTAAAATTCAAATGTCTTACAGAGAGAGCAAAGGACTTCTGGTCTCAAGTGGATGTGGACCGGGCTTTTGATGAGTTACTGAGGTTCCTTGTGAGTCTGAGAGACAACATCAAAAATAAGACTGCTTCAGACAAAGGTAAACACAGGATCACAACGCAGACCACTAAGCACATGTTTAAAATAATATACATGGCATTGACATCCATACAGGCCTAGGTCCTGAACCAAGTTTCTTAATTAATTCTACTTTGAATTGAAAAAATGACAAGACAGCCCTTTTTTGATAGGCATGTGATGTCCAGAAGTCCATTTACACGCAAATGTTACAAAGTATTCAGAACTGTAACAGTCCTGCACAGGAAAACAGGTTGTGAATACGCCTTTGAAAAATATTGGAGGAAAATATTCTGCCTGGTAAGCAAGATAAGTGAACTTCCCTTGAACTCCTCTCCCTGAGCTCTTCTAGATGTTCTTTTCTCAGAACAAGCTGATCTGGACTTTTTTCCTTCATATTCACACTGCACGTACCATCAGCTGAAATTATAATAAACTGCCCAAATATTAAGATCAACTTGAAAGCAAAATAGACCTTTTTATCTTGTTAGTTCATATCCCTGGTCTCATTAAACACAGTTCGTCATAGTATAAGTGTTATTATCATATATTATTAAAATAGAAAATTCTTGTTTTCTTCCAGCATAATGTAATAAATAGGAGTTTTGAATACATGCACCAGCAGGCGGGGAAAGTAATACTAACCAATACTGTCATATTTTATTTCCCACTGCCACCGTCCCTGCCTCACCAAGTGAAACGCTCACTAACACGCAGATGTTGTGTGATTCCTTTAGGCTACATCCAAGCCAGGAATATTATCTTGGAGGCTGGCGTGACACTGAGGGCGGCCTTAAAGATTGTTGCCATTGAGGAGGTGCTCATCAGTGAAGGTATTATTCTCCCAAAATTCTAATGTGTCTGTTTGTATTTTTTTGTCCAGCATTCTTTATAGAGCTTTAACATGGTCTTAAAAAAGTCTGCTTCTCTGTCATGTTGGAGCTGGAAGGTTATGTTCGAGATTTTACACAACAATTTTGAGGTATGGAAGCATATGACTCTTTTTGTGTTTTGAAAGAAGCAGTCTACGAGGCCAGATATTTAGTGAGTCAGTCTGTACCTGCCTATTTGCTCACTTTCCTGTTCTCTGTCTCACACTTAAAGCAACATTAAGTAACAATTTTAGCATAAAATAACAACTTCAAAATCATTTTGATGGTACACCGACTAATAATAGGGAAAATGGCGTCTCTGCCATTGCCACCCAGGGCTCGGAATGTCTGCTATAGCGCTATGTAACTTTGGAGGAGCAAGCACAAAACCTCTTGCAAGAACTGCACAGGCACCCCATCACACAGCAACAACTGTGGCTCTTCGGTTAGCTATAAGAAGTAGCTCGGTATTCCCAGCATGGACATCGTAGCAGAGGCTGCTGAAAGACCAAATGAGAAATTGTTGAAGGAAGTGAGGAAGAGAAAGAGTGAGTGTCTGAGCAAGAGACCGGACAAGAGTAAATCTTGGACTGGCTTTTACTCGTTGACAAGAGTTGAAATACATAAAAGGATGCAAGACAGTCTCATGGCTAACAGGAAAACAAGAATATCTAACAGCAGACTGTAAATCCCTGCCTGTGTTATTTATGAAAGACTGTGACGTAGGCTGTAAGCTTATCTGTGTCAATCCTGTCTCACAGGATTTTGTAGCTTTTCCGGATGCTAAAACCTCAGTCCCGTTTCAGGCTAGCATGCAAATAAATTCATCTCATGCCAAAAAGTTTAGTCAGTCTTTGTCAATATCACGCCAAATAAGCCTTGAAAGTTTGCAACCTTGTGTAATAAAATCCTGTGATATTACTCTATATTCAACATGGTTCTGTCTGGTTCCGATGCAGGTGTTGTGCCGAATTGCGACAGTCTACACACATGACGTTGGTTATTTACACATAGAAACACAGAAATCATGAGTGTAATCTGTAGCATCCATATACCTGCGTACATGCGAAGGGGGTCGGATTGTGTATTCTTCAGCTGGTCAACAAATGCACATGTATATGAGGGGGGCCCAGCACGATTTGTATTTACGACAGTGGTGTAAAAGTGAAATACACTCTGCAACTGTAGGGGGAGCCCAGGAGCAAAAGAATCAATTCTCACATAATGCTGTTTTAAAGCTGTTCAGAAGCGAGTCAGTCCTGTGTAGCGCTGGTGTATGAAATTAGAGAGGTACGAGATATTGTCTGTTCCGACATTTGTATACACAACAACACTGATTTTTTGTTTTAGTGGCATTGATAGATAGGAAAACAAATTTAACTGCGAGATGTAATCTGCTGAGTGCTTCAGACTGTCAGTTTATTTTCAATATAGATCAAAATGCAAAATCTTTCTTTTTTTTCCTTCCTTTTTGAAAATGTGGTTTCTAGCTGGTTAACGTTGACATTACAAAACAAGCTATGTCAGGTATGTAAGACACTGTTTTAGCATAGAGTACCAGTAGGAATTATGGCTTCATTGACTTCATTGATATCATGATATGTTTGGAAAAAGCTTCAATATTGAACTGTATAAAATCTGTAAATAGAGTAGGGTCTTTTTAATTATGTCATTTCGCTAACATTTACTTTTTCTTACAGACATTCTGACCGTGTCTGTGTCAGATTCTCACTGTACTCTACTGAAAATGAAGGATGGACCTGTGCCAGAGGATGTTTTACACGAGGACAGCTCAGGGTTTGTGCTTTGTTGTGTTATCTTGCCTGATCGGTTCTTCTTATTTTTAGCTTTTATGGTGATTTCCACTGAAGATTTCCATGAAATGAAGTGCTAATGTAGTGTGTAATGTTTAGCAAACGGTTGATGACAATAAACAGTCATTTCAAAATATTTCCCATACCAGTACTTGTATTTTTAACCTTGTTGATTTTAAACACTAATAACAGAAGTCAGCGGGCAGGTTTACACTTAGTACAGGGGGGTTACTGCCCGGCAATGTACCATATGCTACACACCCAGAGATTATGTTTAAAAAGAAAGAGCACTAAAATATTTCTTTAATTTTACTGGTTTGTTTTGGTTGTTTTTTCATAGAAGTTCGAGGAATCCGGAGTCTGTTTCAGACAACAGCCAGATGTCTTTGTCTAACAGAAACGATGCCATGTTATCAGGAAAGTTTGACCAATATGATCATGTGGTGCTGCTGTCACCTTCCAGACTGTCACCGGAGGACCAGTTGGCCCCCATGTCACCCATTCAAATTTCCTACCAGCAACACGACTGCAGTGCAGCCTGCCTCCCTCGCCTACCACCTAGCGTAAACCATTTTCTGGGTCATAATCCTTTGAGAGTGCCTCTTCTCTGCCACTTCCAGCGGCATTGTGCCAAGCTCCGCTCATTTGCAGAGCAAGAGGCGGAGCCACAAGGGGAGGAGCCGGACTCAGTGGAGGCAGATGTGCTCTATAAAGCCCCTTGTGGGCGGGGCTTGTGCTGCATGGATGACGTGCTGCAGTTCCTACAACAGACCAAAAGCCTTGGAATTCTGCTGCCTGTGAATTTTAGCTTCAATCCGCAGGTGCTGCCGGACCGCCAGGCTCAGCCACAACTGCTCGGATCCACTCCATCTCTTCCGGCAACCATCTTGTTTGAGAGAGACATTAGCCGTGGGACAGAGGCGCTCCCAGTTCCGCTGTGTAACGAGGTGGATGGGGTCAGACCCAAGGAATTTCGTTACCGCAAAGACCGCTGGCCTCATGGCTGCTTCTTAAGTGCAGCTCCGTTCTTCACAGCCTGTTGCGACTGCACAGACGGCTGCACAGACAGTCAGAGCTGCACTTGTCTTCAGCTGTCTCTGAAGGCTGGTGCTGACCCAGGCCAGCTTTACGTCCACCAGCGGCTAAATGAACCTGTGTCCACAGGGTAAGATGATGAATACTGATCTATTGACTTAATTGGGACCACTAGGGATGGACTGATATCGGAAGTGTGCGTCCCTAGATAGATAGGTCTGTGGACCACACTGTACATCATCAAATAATGGTTTGAAATATGGGTCAAATCTAAAACATCTGTCTAATGATAATTTTTGTTTGGCAGATATCTGCTGATACTTCAGTATCATTGTTTCCTTTGTGACCCCTATTGGTCTTCATAAGAAGATAAGCTGGTGAACGCATAGTGAAAATCAAGGCTAAAATCAATAATTAAATTATCATTTGATTCATAAACCATTATAATTTCTGATGTTTCATGTTACTTTGTCTGTCATTCAGAATTTGTCTGTACAAGTGATTTCTGCTTGTATGGTGAAAATGTACCATACAAAACAAGTGGAATAATAGAAACCTTATCTTTTATGTAGTATCATATTCCTGAATATGTCATATTACCATTATAGAGTGTGATGAAGAGCTTTTGTTTTTAGTAAATGTGTCAACTTTTCTCCATAATTGATGTCATTGATGACTAATTGGCTTTGTTGACTAACTTGTTGCAGTGTTGATGAAGTTTCATGGTGTCCACGCCAATCCTTCTCATTTTTGGTCCTGGAGTATCACTGGCCTTTATGTTGTAGTGTTTTCCCTATTCTAACACACGCAGTTCTCCTCAGGAAGAGCTTGTTAATTACTTCATTAGTTGGATCAGGTGTGTTGGGAGCAGGGGAAACTCTAAAATGTGCAAAACAGAGGTGCTCCACATTTGAGAACCATTGGTTTAAAGTGAGGAATTCAAAAAGTACAAAAACCTGCAAACAGCACAACCACCAACAATCTTATTGATAAGGTGAATTCAGAGTCTTCTCCTCTATAACCCAAATCATACAATGTCCATGTAACATTTTGACAGGCTGTATGAGTGCGGCCCTTGGTGTGGATGTGAGAAAAGCAGGTGTCTGAATCGTGTGGTCCAGCGTGGACTCCGTGTTCGCCTGCAGGTGTTTCGCACCCATGACAAAGGGTGGGGTGTACGCTGTCGTGACGACCTGGACAGGGGCACCTTTGTCTGTACTTACGCAGGTGAGTTGTCACATAAGTTATGTAGGTTCATGTGGGTGTTTGCTCCTTCAGCAGTTTAAGGCTACCTTCTTTGGATCTTCTATGTCACCTGACCGCTAAGGTCTACATTAATGTTCTTTGGAACACAGGTTTAGGTGATATTGGCACTTTCTGACTATAGAATTGCAAACACATTTATGTACCCTTGTTCAGGTGTTGTCCTTAGTCTTGGGCGGAGCTTAGAAGAGCCCCTGTCCTCTAAAAACATGAAGGAGGAGCCAGTGTCGGATGACGAGGTGGAGGTAGTGGAGGAATGGACTCTTCCTACAGGGCAGAAAAAAACAGTCACTGAATCACTGGACACTTCTCCCCCTCTTTATATTCCTGTGATCCAGAGGCCTGCAGGCCAACTGCCAGTGGCACTGGATGGAGAAAAGCAACAGCTGGAACAGCAGGTCAGTTACCACTGCTTTCTATAGTTAAAATGATTTTTGAAATTGTAGATATTTCCTGTATTGATGGATAATCTTGTAGGTTCTGTGGCTATAGAGCTTAAAGCAAGTAAAATTTCTATGCCTGAAATGTGTTTGGGGGTTAGGAGAAAGTACGTGAAGTGAGAAAGGGAGTGAAGGGGGGGTTCACAAAATGAAGAAATTAATTAATTAAATATGAACATGTTTATTAACAAAACTGAAACAAATAAACACAAATAGCAAATAGTACAATAACAAGTTGTGCAAAATGAACAGTTTATGGTAAAAGCACAACTTTCAAAACCATAAAGAATATCCAATACATCTATCCTTCAAACACGTCATCAGTCGCTCCTCCACTGGTCTCCAAACAGCATGTACAGCATACTGTTGTATGTGCAGTCACTAGCATTATTGAGCTGACACTTGACTGAACCGCTGTGGAAACAAAGGTTTTTAGTAATAAAGTGAGTTTACTTTATTAATACAAAATATAGGGTTCCTGTTCTTGCTATGCGACAGTTAAATAAATACGCAAGAATATCTTTCATAGAAATATATTTAAGCAATAAGCCACGAGAGGCCATGTGTTACTGTGATTTTATCATGGCGTGTTCTTAGTCATGACACGAAGTGAAGCAGAAGAACTTTAACTGAGCGTACTGATTGAAGAACCATCCCTTTTAAGAGTGTAGCAGTTTGCTTGCTCAGTACTTGGCTGCGCACCGTGTTGTTAAGAATAAGCATGTCAATCAGATCGAGCGTTTTCGGACAGTGTGAATCTATAAATCATAGGCTTTGTCTGACAACGATGGTCCATCCAAACGTACAGTGTGAGTCACCAAAGAGCAAGATTACTATAATTGCACAGTTTATGCCCATTTCTTTGTGAAAACCCATTTCATAAAGCTCTCGACACATAGTTTTTGTGCTGATGTTGCTTACAGAGGCAGTTTGGAAGTGTGTAGAGTGAGGCAGAAGAGGATAGGCAATTTTTATGCATTATGTGCTTCAGCGGTCGACAGCCCCGCTTTGCGTATTATGTGGTGTACCACTTCGTCGCTGAGCTGTTGCTCCTAGATGCCTCCATTTCACCATACTAGTACTCACAGTTAATTGGGGCAGATTTAGCAGGGCAGGAATTTCACTAACTGACTACAACAATCACTGATTTCTTTAGACCCATTCTACTACCATTCTGTTTTATCCATCTTATAGTAATGAATGTGGCTGAAACACATGAACTCAATAATTAGGAGGGTGTCCACATACTTTTGGCCATACAGTGTATATAAACAAGTATATGTAAAGTTTCAAAAACGTTTCCTTTATCTCTTAGTCCATATACAGAAACTAAGCTGCAGAAACAGCATAGCATTCCTTAAAAAATAGTGTTGAATTAATTTTAATAGGAACAGAAGAAACTGTTTGTCAGTCTGTATAAAACATGGTGTTGTTCAGTGTTGTAGAAGTACTAAAGTACTACTGTATAAGTACTACTATTCAGTACGTAGATATACGCAGATTCAGAATGTTTGTGACACTAACCTTTTCAGTGCATTTAGTTTCTCTCTGTTTTTAAAGGATGTAGGAGGATGTTTACAGCTTTTTGTTTGTATCAGATTTGCTAGATTTGTCAGATGATTTCCTCACTGAATCCCTGCTGATCTTTGTTTCAGGAACAGCAGGAGGAAATGAATGCCTCTTCATTATGTGATTCCAGTAAGACAGGTACATCTAATGCTCCATGTCCAGGTTGACAAAGAATTATACAAAGGCGTATGAGCTTTTTTTATGAACTAAATATCTTGTCATTATATTGGTAGAAACTAAAAGCCAAGATGATAAAGAGGAAGTAGTGAGGAAGAAGCCCAGGTTGGATGGCAAGGATGAAAATGGAGACACCACCCTTCCAGATCAGACAGTGCCCAAAGGAGATGTATCGAAACAAGGCTGTCAGGAGCAAATGTATTACCTTGATGCTTCAAAAGAAGGAAATGTAGCAAGATTTATAAATGTAAGTAGATCTGGTGTTCAATACCTGTATGTATGTGACGCTGATGATGTCAAGTCATGATATATTTATTTATAGAACACTTTTAAAACAGATGTTGGCCAAAGTGTGGTAGAATCTATTATTAGTTCAACACTAGAAGAAAAATTATTAAGACAATGAAGGGAAGGCAAATCTGTAAAATATTATGTGGCTTGGGGTTAGCAAAACAGAATGTTAAAACACAAATAACAGAAAGACTGCACACAAATCATGGCATAACTCTGTTGCAGTTCTTGAAAAATTACATACACATTTAAAGGACTGTCTTATTTTGATCAACACACCAACCTAAACATCAGTTTTTTTATGGATAGGTATGTTATGCCATGAATTGCTCTTCTAACATGTTACCTTTGTTTTTGACACCACAGCACAGCTGCAATCCCAACCTATTTGTCCAGAATGTCTTTGTTGATACTCACGACCCCAAATTCCCAACAATTGCCTTCTTTACATGCAGGTAAGTTCCTTGGGAATGTATATATGTTAGAATCCCAGGCTTATTACAGCTTAAATCCTATTTACAGCAAGTAAGATTTTTTTCAGCCAAAAAAATGGATGTGATTTTAATTGTAGTGGAACCTTCACATGAAGTCCAATGCGTTTTTTTAAACACTCTGAGAACGAGGGAAGAAGAGGGAAGAGGAAGTAATTTTCGAGTGCTAGCAACGATGAATTTAACATTTTTTTAAGCACTGCAACTAAAAGGCACACTCCCAGGATACAAACATTCTTCACAGAAGACCAGGCATGAACAGACTAGAATGCACCCAGATAAGCATAGCTAAACAGATATAAACAGTCGCTTTGTTGTACTAAGGTATGCGGCGTCATTCCCCAGCCTTTCAGCTATGGTTCTTAAACCTCCCCATTTTTTGGTTTCCATGATGTTTGCCATATAAGCTTTTTGTGTACTGTCAGAAGCAAGATAAGCTGTTGGAGGGTTATTCCAGTGTTCCAGTATCTGACTAGCTTCATTATTTCACAGAACAATCACAGCAGGGACAGAACTGACCTGGAACTACTCCTATAACCCGGGAAGCGACCCTGAGCATGAGGTACCGTGCCTGTGCGGTTACGAGAACTGTCAAGCAGTTCTTATCTAAGCCAAGTGTGAGAAGTGCTGCATATACCACCACATGCCTGAGCTGCATCAAGCAGCAAGAGCAAGCGTCAAGTCAAAGGCACAGGAAACCCAGTGAAACCACGTTTATGAAATCTACCCTGTATGGCGAAAACCTATCTTGAAGCTGGGCAATCACAGACCATCTTCATAATGGGATATTTCAGGTCTGTGCTTGTACTTACTGAGCTGTAATCTGTAAAAGTATCAAATGAAACCATGACGGTCAGTAGCCATATATTGCTGTTCCTACTTTGTCCTACTGTACAAAATGCAACACCAACGGTATATAACGAATCTTTTTTTTGATACAAACTTTGAAATAAACTTTTTTTTAAAACAAACTGTTGTAGTTGTGTTGTAGAAACTGCACAAATGTAGCAGTGTTTTGTGTAGCAAATAATGATTAGTGTTAGTAATGAAACAGTTTAACCAGAGCTACATCTGCTGTATGCTTACTCGCTATTTAGGCACATCTGCTGCATGCTTACCCGCTTCTTACAGCAGTGCTACACTAGCCTGTAGAGTGAGATTATCCAGTTTAAAGACTAGAAACCCCCCCCTATTGATTGTGTATGTTAAAGGGGGGACAAACTTGAAAGACAACAACTACTTTGGGGTCATCTTTGTTACTGTAAATGTGTAACTGTAGAAACTATCTTCAGATCTCGAAAATGGAGAGAATGAGTTACTCAAACAACAGAAATGACTCATCAGATGCATCAAGCTAAAGCTAAAGTTAGCAATGCAGCTGGCTAACTAGATATCTCTGTTTGGCTTTTTTCTCAGTTTTAAAGTGTCCAAAATTTGTCTCTGGTGTCCTTTTAGCGCTGAATAAAGATACTACAACCAATACTGGTTGACACTACAAGGATTCTTACTGGTTGTATGGTGTATTTGCATAATGCATGCTGGATATTGGGAGAGAACACTGATGAATGAAACATATAAACTCATGAATGAGGGTGATGAGGGATACGGTAATGCAGTACAGAATACTGTTAAACATTAGATTTAAGCTGGAATGTCTCTTAAAAGTTTCTTATTGCAGTGGGAACTCTTTTTAACTTTGATTTGTCCAGAGCTTAATGGCCTTTACTTATTGCTTGATTTCTTTTGGCGTAGAGACAATTTTTTTAAACAGGATGACAGATTGTGACTTTTGGGTGTGGCTTTTGTTATTCAGCACATGAGGTGCTGTTTCTGTGGTGATGAGGACAGAGATTACCACTGAAATTAATATATACATGATTCATGTATATATTATAGACATATATTCATAATAAACAATGATCACTGTGGCCATATGTTATTTGTGAAAGGCAAGGAACAAAAAAATATATATATATATATATATATATATATATATATATATATATATATATAGCCCCCTTTTCCCCTGTTCTTCAGTGGTCATGACCCCCACAAAACGACCACAGTAGGTAATAAGGTGGTGGATCATTCTCAGCACTGCGATGACACTGACATGGTGGTGGCATTTTAGTGTGTGTTGTGCTGGTACGAGTGTCACTGCTGGACTGAGAATAGTCCACCGACCAAAAATATACAGCCAACAGCGTCCTCTGACCACTGATGAAGGACTAGAGGATGATCAGCGCAAAGTGTGCAGCAACAGATGAGCTACTGTCTCTGACTACATCTACAAGGTGGACCAACTAGGTAGGTGTGTCTATTAGAGTGGACAGTGACAACACACACTAACACACCACCACCACGTCAGTGTCACTGCAGTGCTGAGAATGATCCACTACAAAGTATGCAGAGAAACAGAAACACTACAGTCTGTAATTGTAGAACTTACAAACTTCTCCTGTATGGTAAGTGGAGCTGATAAAATGGACAAAGAGTGTAGAAACAAGGAGGTGGTTTTAACGTGATGGCTGATCATTTTCACTTGCAGTAACAGTTTTCATAAACTATGATGAAACGTTTAAAGTTAAACTGAAAACACTTGTTTGTGTCTCTTATACATGGCATCAAATAGCGCTCTTGATGGAATGACTAAGACCACAGCGGAGGAAAAACGGTGATGATGATGAGTAATCTAGTGGGTTAGCCTGTTATACCTAGATGCAGTTTAAATGCGTTTCCTCATTTAGATTTTAATCTTCATCCTTAAACTGGTTAAGGTGATTCTGATGTTGGAAACAGCGCGGGTCTGTGCGGAGTAGCGCGCGCACGACCACGCGCTCATTTCAAATTCAAAATTCAACGGAAACTCAACGGCTCAAGGCGGACCTCATGCAACAACGGTCGTCTGAACCACTTACTTGTGAAGTAAATACTGTAGTTTTATATGTTGTTCTTAGAATTAATACAGTGCGACACTATTTTGTGTGCAGAACAAGTGTGTAAGTAATTTTGACAGCCATGTTAGCTTGCTGTGACCTGAAGTTAAGTCTTCATCAGTTTTACATTAAGGACAGCTAATCAAGGTAGCTACCAGCCTTGTTCCCATGAGGCAACTTTGATGGTGATGGCTGTTATTTTTGTATGTTTGATGCCGAGTAATACAGAGCATATCTCAGATGAGTTGTGGCCTTTTGGCATGTGACATGTCTTCATGTCCAGTGGCGTTTCTGGCACAGAAAGCCTGGTGGGGCACAATAAACTGTAGGGGCAGCAGCCGACTCGTCATTGAAACTACACACAAACCTGATCCAAACACAAACACACCCCGTCAATGAAATCACAAAAAGTGGAGAATATAAGTGATATAATAACGACATTAGATCTCACAAAACCTTGTTATACAGCATCACATTACAATTCTAAAGTTATCAAGCAGTATGACTGTGGTCTGCAACTAGCTACCTATCCAAAGCAACATTTCCAAAAAAGTTGGGATGCTTTGCAGAATGTAAACAAAAATAAAATGCAACAATATGCAAAACATGTTAACCATATTTTTAAAGGAAAATACTACAAAGACAACATATCAGATGTTGAAACTGAGAAATGTTATTGTTTTTTGAAAAATATATGGCCATTTTGAATTTGATGCCAACAGCACGGTCCAAAAAAGTTGGGACGGGGCATGTTTATTAGTGTTTCATCATCTCTTCTTTTAACAACACTCTGTAAGCATTTGGGAACTGAGGAGACCAACTGCTGTAGTTTTGAAAGTGAAAAGTTTTCCTGTTCTTGTTTGATATAGGATTTCAGTGGCTCAACAGTTTGGGTTTTCCTTTGTAGTATTTTTTTTATTTCATAATACGCCAAATGTTTTTGGTGGAGACAGGTCTGGACTGCAGGCAGGCCAGTTTAGCATCCGGACTCGTTTAATACGGAGCCATGCTGTTGTAAGCGTCCATGATTTCCAAAAAGAATTTCAAATGTTGATTCGTCAGACCACAGGACACTTTTACACTTCCCCTCAGTCCATTTTAAAAGAGCTTGGGCCCAGAGAAGGTGGCAGCATTTTTATATATGGTTTCTTCTTTGCGTTTTAAAGTTTTAACTGGCATTTGTGAATACAGTGACAAACTGTGTTCACAGACATTTGTTTTCAGAAGTGTTCCTGAGCCCATGCAGTGATTTCCACTACAGAATCATGTCTGTTTTTAATACAGTGCTGCCTGAGGGCACAAAGATATACTGGTTTTTGGCCTTGTCCCTTACATAGAGATTTCTCCAGATTCTCTGAATCTTTTCATGTTATTTTGAACCATAGATGATTTTTCAAAAAACAATAAAATGTCACCAGTGACGTTCACTGCTTGAAAAGAAAAGATGCACGACGATGTTTCACCTGGGCAAACTTGTCAAAAACTTTTCTCTCAAAGTCCACCAATCCATGAATCAATTCAAGTGAAAGCATAGCAAGGGCAGGAAAGCTGCACTAACATCAGTTACATACATCTGTCTTCGATTTGTCCAAAGAATCAGCTTGGAGGGGAGGACCTGGTATAGAGAAGAAGTAAAAGCAGCAGAACGGTACACTGGAGGAAGAGTCAGAGAAAGAACAAAACAGTCTGCAGAACGACTTGTGGAGGTAAAATGTACACACAACAAATAGGTTTTAAACTAAAGCCATTTAGTGTTCATCAGATTGTTTACCACTTGCATAAAAGTGCCTTTTGACTAGCAAGTAAAGAGGTTGGGCAGTGACTCCCATAATTCTGTGTGCCCTTGTACATCTTTCAGTCTAGAAACAGGAGTGTAAATCCTATACTCAAAGCTTTCTTTTAGTTCATCAATTCATCATTAATGAAGTAAACTTCAAGGTTAACAGTAATGAATGAAGAGCTTTGCACCTTAAAGGGCCCATATTCTACATTTTTCTTGTATTTTTTTCTCTTGATGTCAGCTTTTACTTATGTACCAAAAATAGTCTGTAATGAGGAAATATGCAAATTAGCTCTGTTTTGATTAGCTGCGCTGTATTGTGTCTCATCCGAAAGCACTCGGCACTGAAACACTGCCTGGAACTTTAATGCTGTAGTGTTTTGCCAAAGAAAGAGACACGGGAAAGGTCATGATTTCTGCAACAAGAAGTGCTCTTTATTAACACCAGCCGAGGAGGCACATAAACACAGCTGGGCAAAGCAGGCAGGTCACTTCTAGACTTTTCTTAATGGTAGACCTAAACCCACACCAACTAAGCCCCCAGCCCAACACAGTAAATCACAACAAACACATTTTGTTTGTCTTTGCCACACTTAAACTAAAGAAGTACAGAGGCAAAAATAACAATATTTAATGTAGCTTTGACGGAGTGGGGTGGGGTGCATGGCGCAGCACTGCTGTGTCTGATCCACTTGTACCAGCGCAACACACACTAACACACCACCACCACATCAGTGTTACTACAGTGTTGAGAATGATCCACCACCCAAATAGTACCTGCTCTGTGAGGGTCCATAGGGGTCCTGACCACTGAAGAACAGGGTAAAAGGGGGCTAACAAAGTATGCAGAGAAACAGATGGACTACAGTCTGTAACTGTAGAACTACAAAGTGTACCTCTATAGTAAGTGGAGCTGATAAAATGGACAATGAGCATAGAAACAAGGAGGTGGTCATAATGGTATGCCTGATCGGTGTATATATACATCTTTCTATCTATCTGTCTATCTATCTATTTATCTATCTATTTATATCTATCTATATATTTGTATCTATCTATATATTTACATATCTATATATATTAAAATGTTACCATTTCTGAGACAGCATTACAGACAAAACAATATGCAACTAGGTTATTTCAGATCTGTTTCTCACTGATCATGTAACATTATAGGCCATTTTTCAGGTCTTGGCCCTAGTACTTCCTAAAACAAAGCAACTAATAGGTTGCATTCATGTAGTATCAATTAAATGGGCATCACTGAAAATCATAGTTTCAGGTGTTTGCTGCTTAAGCATTGTAAACAAGCAGATGCTTGTCTTCCAAAATTACCCAAAATTAAGCCGCTCAATCGCTAAGCACCAGTTTTTATCAAAAACAAACTGGTGAGGGGCTCAATACCTGACAAGTTTAAAAACCTGAAAAGGCTACATTTTACACTGGGTCTGGACCATAGCTGTAGCACCAAATTTTGGGCCCCGGGGACAAGGCCCTACTCCGCCTCCCAAAAAATTAAAGGAAAATATGTATTTATGCCAGAGGCTGGTTGGTTGGTATGCATTTAAGTGTTATAATATAGAGCTGGGCAATGTCATTATCATGAATTACATCACTATACATCAGTATTCTTTTCTGGGCATATCATGGATAGTCAATACCTAAGTCACTTCTGAACTGCATATTTGATTAAAAAGCATAATTAATCCAGTTTAATTGGATTTAGTGTAGCATGTGAAATGTTTAAAATTAGATTGTTTTTGATAGCATTTTTTTAATGTAGCACTACTTTGTCAGTTCTAACTTGAATGTCAGAAAAAAAAATAAACATTGCAACATGAATCAAAATCTTCCTGAAGTATCATTACATTTTGCTACATCACTCCTATAGACAGCTGACAATAAGGTGGGCTTTGAGTCAATCTTGTTGCAGTGAAGATTCAACTTATCAATTTGAGACAAAGTGTAATTAAAAGGAAATTCAAAAAAGTATTTATATAATCATTTGTTTTTTTACTGAAACTGCTCAACAAATGGTTGCTTGAAAGTTCTGTTAGCCACTTATTTTGGTGAGCACAGCTTGTCATTTTCATTTGCATCAGATGCACACACTGCAAACCACTTGAAGGATACCCAAGTCACAGACAAGTCAAAATAGGATTTAACACTTTATTGATTTAAAAATACTTCTTAAAATAAGTGCCAATAGCAACGCAAGCTCTTAAAACTCTTGAGACTGGATCTCTTTACTGCTGTCAGCTTCTCTGGGTCCCTTGGTTTTCTTGGGCAGCAGCTGGGCCTGGATATTTGGTAGTACACCTCCCTCAGAGATGGTGACTCCCCCAAGGAGCGTGTTCAGCTCCTCATCATTCCTCACAGCTAGTTGGATGTGTCGTGGCGCGATGCGCAGCTTCTTGTTGTCTTTGCTGGCATTACCAGCCAGCTCCAGCACTTCAGCACTCAGGTACTCCAGCACAGCTGTAAGGTAGACTGCAGCCCCAGAGCCCACTCTCTGCGCATAGTTCCCCTTCCTCAACAGGCGGGCAACACGACCCACAGGGAACTGAAGACCTGCCCTAGCTGAGCGGGACGTTGACTTCTTGGTCTTGGCAGCAGCAACCAATTTCTTTCCACGGCCAGACATGTTAGCAGGTCTACATTTAAAAAAAAATAAATAAAAAAATAAAACAAACACCAACCAAAGTTAAGTGTTCATGCTACCTCAAAATCAGTAATATTTGCCAGTCAATTTGACTCAAGTGGACATCTTACATGGTTTTACAGTAAGTCAGTCTATTGAAACTACATATGCATTATTTAAGTACTTGGCCTAATGGAAAGAAGCTACTTTTTTGCTGAACTATTAAGGAGAAGTTAAATGCATTCTTTATCATCAGCAAAAATAAAAGTAGGAACACTCCACAACCAGGACTAGTAGTCATTACTTTGACATGTTAAAACTATTAAGAAGGCCACATTTGTTCATTAACTAGTGCCTTACAAATTTAGCAGAGCTTAGTCTTCACCATTGGTTACAACTGACCCACTAATAAAACTATAACAAACAGCACATATTCAAGAAAGCTATTTTAGCAGTGTTTAAGCTTTTGATGGCAGAGATATGACCTAAAGATACTCTAAAACTACTTAGTTTGGTCTACAAACAAAGAAAGCACTGAAAATCCTTTACCTTTCAGAGGCAGTTCAGCAGCAATCAAACAGGAAAGACTGACATAGCTGTATGACCATGAAGTTCTTATACTGTGAAGGTGCTGGCCTAATGAGGTTCACCTGTGCAATCATGCCACATCAGTGGCTGGACGGTGAGGGTTACTTAGAACCAATGGGAGGAGAGATTCGCAGAAGTTGATAATGGCAACTGCAGTCATTCAGAACTTAAACTGCACATTTAAGTTTTGCTAATCAGCACCTTTACATTTACAAACATGTATAGAAATGGTAAAATACATTTTAAACAAAGGTAAACCAGTATTTGTTTGCCTGTCCCAGTCCACAAGGACACTAAATACAAGTTACCTTGAAATATAATCACTAAAATGCTTCAGAAATGTAATTGTTTTTGTATTAACGTGTGAAATCATTTAATGGCTCATGCTTAAAACGTCCTTTTTACTCATTTGTTCATTTACTCATTGTGTTGTTAACTGATGAAGTCATTTTAAAGGAACAACCCTGTTACCTAATTACAGATGTATAGATTTAAAGTAAATTTTGTACATAATAAAACTACATAGATCATTTCGAATGTCCCTAATGGCCCCCATGACATTAGCAACAGTGCTAGTTAATGTACTAGTGGTGTATTTGCTGATTCTGTGCTAAAAAAATCTAACCTGTTACTTTTTAACTGTTTCTCATTTAAGCCATTGTCAGCAAAGAAATCTGAGACATTTTACTGACGTGGGTTAACAGATTTTTTGAAGTATGTTTTCTAACAGTAAAAATGTCACAAAGGCTAAATGGCATCCCAATCGTGGAATCAGCCAGTTCTTTATCTGGTTAGAGATGCTCCCTGTCAGTTGATAGAGAGAAGAGAAATAGAGTGGTTGATAAATTGTGCAGCATCATATGGACTACAGTATTGTGGGATACACTGGTAGTTCAGTGTATATGAAGTACATATACTGACTTTTACAGAGCTCCTTAGGTGACATGGTCATTTTTAATAAGGCGTGGTCACATATTACTATATTGAGAACATGATTTACTATATTGAGGCCACACAGTGCTATATTGAGTCCACGGATTACAATATTAAGGCCACAAATGATTATATTAAGGGGCATGATTTACTATATAGAGGCCACAAATTAATATATTGAGAACATGATTTACTATATTGAGGCCAGAAATTAATATATTGAGGCCATAAATTACTATTTGAAGGCCATAAATTACTATATGGAGAGCATGATTTACTATATTGAGGCCACAAATTATAAAAAAAATAGTCACCATGTCACTTTAGGGGCTCCGTAGACCTTTAATACTGAGGCATACTTGAGTAACAGGTCTGAATACGCTGATCAGTAAATCATAACTCTGTAAAAATACGTGGTGTGTAGGATTTGTAGATCGCCTGTTACGTGCGCATGCGCATCCCCGGTCCCGCGCGTGCGTCCCGGACACTTGTACGATCTTGCGGTCATATGACCACTGGCGTACATAAACATTGTCGCTGTTGACATGGTGTAGAGGAGCGTTATCATGACCCCTGCGCTGCTGCTGCTGTCTTTGGCCTTCACGGCCGCCCGAGCGAATGATTTTAAAATCCCGCCGCACGAGGAGGTGGCGCGGATGGCGCGGTTTGTGGTGAACCGGTGCGACTGGGCTTCGATGGCGACCATCTCCACACACGAGCCGGTGAAAGGACAGCCGTTCTCGAACGCGTTCTCCATCAGCGACGGAGCCCCCGGTAACGGCACAGGCACCCCCTACATGTACCTGACACACATGGAGATCTCCGTGCAGGACCTGCAGGTACCAACACAAACACACACCACCGCTGAAAGGAGAACTCCACCGATTTTTCTAAATGTCTGCACAGTTCAGTGGTTGAGATGTAAACAGAGTCATTCAGGGAGGATTGATGTGAAGTGGTTCATTGTAGGGAAACTTACTGACTCTGTTTTGTTTACAGTGGTGCTGATAGGGGTCACAATGTCCACAACACAGATACAGCCAATTTATTTACTGCTCAAAAACACCAGAGGACCTACAGGTCCTTTTTTCCTACAGGTCCTTTTTTCCTGAAAAAAGTTTATCTGGTCACTACTTTGTGATATAACGCCCTGCATGTATCTCTCCACCATTAATGGACTTTAAAAAGTTCACTGTAACCCAAAAGTTGATCTCAAGACTATCACAGAACAATGTGTTGGGCATCAGTCTTCATGTTTATAACAGTTTCATGTAGTAACTTTCTGTGAGTGAGGTTTTAGAGGCATTAAACTCTTCTGATGTCTGGTTCCTATCACCACCACTTTGAACAATTCTGATTCTGTAAGTTTCTCTAGAACTTTCTCGAAGTAAGTTCTAGTTATTTATAAAAATCTCATTTCACATCAAACCACTCTGAATGACTTTGCTTACATCTTAGCAAGTGACTTCTGGAGAAGTTTTGAAAAATCGTCTCTCAAAGATACCCGAAGGTGGCAGGGGTCAGTTCCTCAACAGCCAGGGAATCACATGGTCAAAAGAAACTAGTCTTGTGCCGTGCCTTTCAAGCCTCTTAATGAGGGGTGGGCGATATGGCAAAAATATGTTGTTCCAACACTTTGTGGTATTTTAGGGTACTCTATATACATCATGATGTTTAGTTTTTCTGTAATAAGTTGTAACAGACAAAATAGAACCTGTAGGTCCACATATTCAAGAATGCTATAATAATAACGTTAAACCTAGAACTACAGTCATTTTCATTCAGTGTTTTACAAACTGCAGTGTACTAAATTAAAAGTACTAAATCCAAGTAAACGGGCCTAATTATACTCACTTTGTAGTGAAACATGTAGTCAGTGTTCTTTAAATACTGACGATGTCCGTAATATGCTCAGAAAAGCATACCATGACATAATTTATCTCAATAATGAAGAAATATTATCATATTGTCCCTCCTTACTTCTAAAGAATAGACAGTGGTTATCATGTCACAAAGCAAAATTTCTCAGCCAGATAATTTAAACCAAAAACATTGTCTGTTCAGCTTACTGAGAAACTGAATGATTGATTAGGAAGCTGAATAAACTTAGGCTGAAAGCATAGAAAAGCCTGTCCAGTCTGAGCAATAGAGGAAAGGTCAGGGGCATTCCAATTTGACAGTTATGTTTTTGCTTTTGTCACAGGTTTATTTAGCTTACTGAGAAATTACGCCCTATAAAATATTCCCCATATTGAAATACATTGTACATTAAAAACACTATCCATTTTTATTTTTTGAAAAACAAAGCAAAGGATATGAAACTGAGCTTTGAAGGCCTCGCTTGGGAAGAGCAGTAAGTTGACTTTGCATGCAAGTGTTTTAGTTCGTACTTGTGGTGCAAGTTTCTAATCACAAATAATTGCATATGCTGCTGTATACAAGTCTGTGCTCTGGTGACTCAGCTGGTTTTAGGTGGTGACCGTGACGCAGCGATTTTTCAGCGCTCGCTCTGACTGTTTCTACTGATTTGGTCTTTATCTCCACTCCCAGCAAGCCAACGGAAACTGCTGAAACCATGTGACAAGTATCACTGGGTTTTACGTAACCACTTGTTGTCACAGAAACTAAAGTTACCTTTTTTTTTCTTTTTTTTTTTAATTAGTATGTTTATTAGTTTTTTAAACCACTATATCAAAGTTACATATAACATAGATACAGCAGTACAAACTTCATCCACAACAATCCCCAGCAATTAAATTAAATTAATTAAAATAAAGATACACAAGTATGATGATTTGTTCTCTAATATTTTCCATTTAAATATACTGATTACTGATATATGAACATTTAAAAAAACTGTAGAAACTGGGAATACATCCACCTGCATTAGTATTATGTAACATTGATTTCTATGAGGTTACAAATGCAGAAAAATGAACAAAATGCAGATATTTTAGCCCAGGACCCCAGTGCCACCTATACATTCTTCTTTTTTGAAGTGCAATAATTGCAATTCAGTTTTATATCAGTCTGAAATATTGGCTAAATCTAAATCTCCCTCAGATGTTGCTAATACAAACAGTTGATGTCCCCTGACTGTCTGAACAGCCATGCTGTCTTCAAAAAGCGTGTAATTTCTGTGTCTAGCTCGAGGCTGGCCATACAGTAAATGCAGTAAATGTACATAAAAATGTAAATGTTCCTTTTTCCAGTGTGTCTGATTATGGCAATTCAAATTGTGACTGTGTTCCACAGGTGAATCCTCAGGCCTCCATGTCTGTGTCTCTAGCTCAGACTCCCTTCTGTAAGCACAAGGGTTATGACCCACAGAGCCCCCTGTGTGCCCACATCATCCTCTCTGGCTCTGTACAGGAGGTATGAAAACAGACACACACACACACACACACACACACACACACACACAAACAACATAAATGTCATGCAGTGAGTTAAATCACAAAAATAACCATCTTGTGTGATCCTAAAATATTGGGGATGAAGGAAAATTTTAACGTTTATTAAAAAACAAAATCATGTTACCAGAATTGTTAATATCAATTTGGATTAGTGCAGCCTTGAAGAAGTGTCACATTCTTTTCTTGTCTTTAGGTGAATGGCACGGAAGCTGAAATAGCAAAGATGGCGCTGTTTAGCAGACATCCTGAGATGATTGATTGGCCAGTAGATCACAACTGGTTCTTTGCTAAAATGAACATCACCCAGGTTTGGGTGCTGGACTACTTCGGTGGTGTGAAGGTGGTCTCTCCTGATGACTACTATAAAGCCACCCCATATGCCCACTGTAAGTGATTTCTGTTATGGTCCCTTTCAATATTGCAGTTTCACAGCAGCTAGAAGCAAAATTACTTAAAGGGCATTCCAAAAATCATCATTCAATGTATCTGTCCCAAAGCGATTGTAGTTTTTCAAATGTACCTCCCAACTTAAAGATACAGCACTGTACAAATATCTCAGACCACCCTTTATTTCATTTCCAGTCAAGTTAGCCATCAACTAAAAGTTGTTCATTTTTCAGGAGGTATTTCTTCAGATATTAGATACAAGATTATCCAACTGTGTAAAGGAAGGCGAAAGTCAAAAGAAAAAAAAGTGAGAAAAAAAAACAGGAATAACTTCCAAAGTGGAGTTCAAAAGGTTATAAAAAATTGGACTCTTACTGTGCAAGACCTGGTAGAACTTGCTGTCAACAATAGATAAACAGTACATTAAGCTGTCGTCTTTGAGAGGGAGGAGAAAATCAAGCTCTGCTCTTGCATCTGAAAAAACCACCAGTGATTCTGCCACTATGAGAAGACAACTCCAGACTGTGGGTATGAAAGGATCTGAATCTGTCAAGCAGCCGTTGTTCAAACAAAGAAGCTGCTGCTGTTCTCAAAACAACGGACTGACCACCCCAGAGTCCAGACCTCTTCATTAAATGTATTTGGAAATACTTGGATTGTGAGAAGCAGAAAATGCAACCAACTTCTATGACTGAAATTTGGAGGAGTGGATGAAATATCCCTGCAGTTTCTTTGAAAAATTGAAAGTGAGACTGCTGAAAATAATGGAAGCTGTAACAAAGAAAAATGGTGGGCACACTAAATACTGCTAATTTACTGCTTATTTGTTGCCTTTTGTGTAATTTTGTGTTAAATATGTTTTCTGCTTTTTTTCCTGATACTGAAAAATGAATAACTTGCACTTAATGGCAATAGGTTCTGCCTGGAAATTAACAAATGAAGGGTGGTCTCTGACTTTTGCACAGTACTGTAATCTCACTCTTGGGGCTATTCTGACACCACTGTAGTAGGCAACAGATGTAACAATGGCTACTTTTTTCTGGAGTGCCTCTTTAATCTATAAGACAATATACCAGCAGTCAGGTAGTAGATATTACAGCAACTAGCAAAACAACCTTACATTAATAAATGGCAAGCTATTAAACTACAAAGTTACAAAATAGCTTATTATAATTATTTGGGTATTTGTAATTTTGTGTCTACATGGTTTTGTTTTTTTTTGTTTTTTTTGCCAGGATGTCATGCAGTAAATGTGATTAAGAAGACTCTGAGAGATCAAGAGAATTTTTTTAGGAAATGGCTGACCTTAAGGGCACAGTAATAGCCCATGAGTGCAGTTGCTTCATTTTGTGTTTGATTCTGTGAGACTTTGCAAGAACTCTTTCATATCATCTTCATATAATTTTCAAATTATATTTTAAAATCTATGCTTTGTATGTAATGTAAAGCTATATTTTTAAATAATTCAGTCATTACTTAAAAACAGGCCTGTGTAGTTTAGTTGTTTAGTCCTGACGTAGATCAGTTTTCTCTTGGATAATATGATCCATGATCAGTTTTTGCACTTTGCACATGGGATTCTTCTTCTTCTCTTTTCTCTTCTTCTTCTTCTTCTTCTTCTTCTTCTTCTTCTTCTTCTTCTCTTAGCTAGTCTTTACATTAGATTAGCAATTCTCATTCCTTTAGGCCTTAATTTCTGGCAACCAAAGGAAAGAAAATCTTTCAAGATTGCTGTTTTTCTTACAGATGCTAACATCTATTTTTATTAAAAACAAGAATGGGAGGGGCAAAAAATAAAAAAAACAAAATGAAAGTGTTTGCCAAAATCTGGGACAAAGCATGTGCATTGAAATAAAGTGTGTTTGAAATAATCCACTTCGTCTTGCTGTTTTTACACATCACTTTTTCTTTATTCCTGTGCTTACAGTGAGCCAGGAGCTGTCAGCAGTGCTGGCAAACAAAAGTTCTCTGTAATTTGAAGTTGCTGTTGCACATTTCGCTGTACTGTATTTTCACCTTGGGTGGCTCATGGTAAGTGCCGGAGGGTTCAGCTTTTTTTAAACTTTACAAAGGCAAAGAACAAAGGTAAGAAAGTTCTGCAGGGAGACCCCTGGTTTGTTCTTTTTTGAGAGTGTCACCCCCCCACACCCCCACCCCTTCTCGACGACAGTACCCCAACAGCAGAGGCAGTTATAGAAAACAGGCCACAAAGCTTCAGTCTTCAGTGGCAGCCATGTCGTAGGGTAGGTGGGCCGTCTGCATCATCAGGTGGAGCTCACAGGAGCCACTTCCTGTCACCAGAGAGAGCTCGGAGCTTCAAAGAAGCAGCAGCGTCACTGAGGCCCGCAGCACAGCTGCGCATAGAGGACTTTCAGCACTGCTCCCCTCTGCCCAAGCACCTAAACATCTAACCTGGGACCTGACTTGGTAGGATTGTTTCTGGTAAAACTTCTTTTCAGGGTAACCAAGAGACTAAGACCAGAGATAACTTCAAGAACATTTGGAAAGGAAGTATGGGGCATCAGAAGACTGGCGCATTGGCGTTCTTTGTCTTAATGCTCTCTCCTGCAGGTAAGACTTGACCTCCAACTTGAACTCCTAGAAATTACTGAGTATTTTTTTTCCACTATCTCGAGTATGTCAAATAGGATTTGAGGTTATTAAAAAGCACATTCAAAGAGAATCAGATTTAGGTGGGTCTAGAGCATTGAATGTATGCAAAGAGCATCCGCTTTCAGAGCTGGGTCGCGTAACTAAAGGCAGCCATTTTTGTTGAGATTTTGTTTAATTTTGCATCTGCTTAGTTTTTGTAAGAATATCCAGTCTGAAACTTAGCAACTGAGTGAATGTGATCTTGATGTAGATAATCAAGACAAAGATGAAACAAATAAACACTTAGTGTTTGGGTTTTTGTGTGCAAGTGAGAGCATTAGGCCCTTTTCCAGTTATGTGAGGGCCTTAACTCTGCTTGACGCTAAGCTGTTTTATGTGGTTTGTGCATTATTTAGCATTTGTGAATTCGTGAGGGAACATTGACAAATTATCTGTACTTTTCTGTGACGGGTTGTTTTGAATTTTGCAGTGAAACCAACAATTGCATCAAAAAACTGCAATTGCATCTGTTAAATCCTAACCCATTTTTTGTGGATGTATGGGGGAGGTGTTGTAATGTTTATTCTGAGAGATAAATCTCCATCTATTACAAATCTCCATCCTTTCAACTTTTATATATTTTATTTTTCAAACAGCAGTTAAGCGTAGACTGTAGGCATAGTGTGCTACGATGTGCGTAATTTCTGCAAACATTATAAAACGATATTTCTGTCCTCAGACATTTGTAAAAACAGTGATTTTGAAAGAAATTCTATGGATAGAGTCGATATTGGTGGGAAATTTTTTCAGTAAGACTTAATTTAAGACAATGTCACAGTAAGATTATTTATGTTCACTTTCGTTTTCAACCTAGATTAAGAGCAAAAACATAAATGTGCGTACAGTCTCAAACGTACATGCATTTTCAGTGCTATTCTTAAAATTTAAGTCATTTTTCATTAATTCACATCTATATTTTGGTCTGAGCTGTGACCTTGATTGATTGATGTTTAACACCATTTCTCAAGATAATATTGTCTAAAATCTGTGTAAAAGCTGTAAAATCCAGTGGAATCACTTTTTAATCTACGATAAACACAAACTTGCTTTGCGTAACCTCTAACAGCTTTGGAAAAATTGCCGAAAAATCTTAAAAATACATAACTCCTCATTCTTTGTATGTATTTATTCATGTTGCAAGGAATTTACAACAACTCCATTTTGTGAAAGCTTCAGAGCGCTCAAGTATTTGATAGCTGCTTTAAAGTGCCGTCAGCTTCCGAAGAAAACAAAGAAAGGCTTAAATACAGGTTAAACTCCTAAAGAGCTTCTTTACGAAACTTTTCATATCATATGCTAAAAAACCATCCTCATCATGATTTTTCTAAAGATCACTAACTTTTAAAAGTTGCAGAAAATGGTACAGAATGTTGTGGTACTTTGTTTATTCTGGCTTAACATTTGCAAAGTAAATTCACAGCAAAAAATGTCCCCTTGTCAACATTTTACTCCTATATTTTTGTAATAAGGTTGTTAAAGATATTATAGGTACTTTTACATTAGTATTTTGAACTGCAGTGTTTTCTGGTTGACGCAAAGGAAAGTGAATGATATTGCGAATAATCTAAACAATGAAGATTAGATGTATGAACATCCATTGTAGTGTTGAATTCATCAGAACAGTAAGAAAGTGTTTAAATGGGTATTCATATAAACATTTCGATGCAGTGCCTAATGCAGAAGCTTACTCTTCAACCTCCTCCTGCCCGTTAACTAAACAAGAAGTGAAAGATTTGGAGTCTTGTGACAGTCATTTGTTCTCTTCACTCATAACGGCGTCATTGCTGGGACTCCGTGTTGTTGTGTCCAGCAATCTGCCAAGCACAGCAGAAAATGCACTGAGCTAGGTCTACTGCTCCGCGCTGCTCAATGAAGTTTCTCTTTTGTGCTCCTCTGAAAGCAGCTCAGCAGTTTCTCAACCCGTGGCTGAGGTTAGGATTCAAGTCAAAGTATCTGGTCCTGGATCAGTCATAAGGATGAACAAATGTAAAGCCCTTGCTGTCATTACTCACATAGGAACTCTGTGTAGGAGGGCACTTTCCATCTGCAACCATGAATAATACTGCCTTTGACCTGACACTGCGACTCAACTTAAAAGAACGATATATCTCACATATGGTAAACACGTTTACAGAAGTTTCAAAAAGGTGTGCACCTCTCCCACTTTTACATGTGATTTAGAGAACGCTCAAAAAGATAAGACATATTTCCATACAGTGTTTATTTTCTCTTTTTTTCCACCCCAATGCAGACACTTAGTAATTTATAGAAGCTAAAACTGTGAATGTTTTGTTCTGGTAGTTTTCTCAAAATAGATTTTTTAATTACAAAATGGCAGAAATATCAGGGGACTGACAAGGGGCTCGTTATCTGAAGCGACTGCACCTCATTTACTAAACAACAAACAGTCCAGAAAAGACATACAGTTACATGCTAATTGCTATTGAAAGTATTTTTAAATCAACTTTTTAGTATTAAAAGAAATTTGGAATATAACAAATAGTAAAAGAGGACAAATTTGCAGGTGTGCTTGAATGTGGGTACAGGTGTGCTTGTCAGAAAATGTTCATGTGTAAAGAGAGACATTATCGGCACAGGGGGAAAAAGTAGTTAAAAGCTAGAACTCGTATGGCCTAAAAATAATTACAGGATCTAATTTAAATGTTCATGGCCTTTCGTCAACCTAATTTATGTCATTAGTTTAAAAATAAGTGACCGGCTTGCTATTTGAGGTGTGAACAACCAAAGCCAGTGATAAAAACCATGTAACCTGGATATAATCATTATAAAACCACTGGGCAAAAGTAATACAATTTGTCTTTTGCTTTTTTTTTGGAGGGGGTTTCCTTTGTAAAAGCACACCGCGTTATTAGCAGCTCCGTTTTTAACAACTGGTCAATATACCATACGATGTGTATCACCAAATAAGAGATGTAGTTTCTACTCTGTTGTTTAATCCTCATAGACAATTTACTGAATCATTTCATAATAACCATTCATAATTCATATACAGTAGTGCAGTGTTACGGTCACAAGTCAATTACCAGACTTATTCATGTTAATCCAGCCTTTGTGCCCATTATATACAGAACTTAGTTATTCAAGTAAAACAACATATACTGTAAGGTAAATGTTATTTTTCCACATATATGTTTCTAAGCTGCTGATGTTTAGGAAAATGTCATTGTATCTGTAGGCGTTTCTATGTCCGTTTACAGTCAGTGACATCATTTGAATTTTCTGACTTTTCATTTTCAATAAAACACCCCCAGAGTGTGTTGAAACTCGGCAGAATGATAAACAATGTCAGATAGTAAAAAGGAAACATATCACTTGATACAGAATTTTGTTCTCTCTGCGGCAGAAAACTGTTTTTCATCTTTATTCACACTATTCACACGTATAGAGGTCTTTCAAGGTGAAATGTCAAAGTTTTAAGGGACATAAGGACATAAGCATAAAAGGGATGGTTTTACAGTCGGCATCGTTGGAAAGTGGTATCGATACACAAATACCTAAACTTACAAACTACGTTTACAAAATTGATGGTTTTTCTAACGTGTTACATAATCCTTTTATGTGCAACGTTGGATTGAACACGTAACGATGAGTCGGACATGATTGTCTCTATCCATGTGGTTCGGCTAGTTACAGGAACATCAGCAAGAAAGCGACGATTTCCTGCAGCTGATATATGACCTATCTGAAATAGCCGCACCAAATGAGATGGTGGTGGTTTCTTTATAGTTCACCTTCGCTTCTCTGCCCCAGCATCTCAGCAAGACTTTGATTGCACAGCTAATCTGAATGTAGAATGAGGACAACACTGAGTCACACAGGCCATCTAAAATGGTTTGTTTGTTTGTTTTGGTTGTTTATTTATTTTTAAAATGCCAAACCAGTCATTATTAAAGCCGCTGTATGATAAGTTTTTGTTTGAATCGTTTTTTGTGATCCGCTAAATATTTCAAATGTCTCATTCAATGTATTTTTTGTATTCTAGTTATCTTTTTTGTTCAGGGCCTTTGTGCCGTTTGGCAATGTGCAGACTCTTTTTAGAGGGCATTGCATAAGTAATAATACATATGCACTGGCTCTTATTCCACCCAGCCAGCCAGACGCAACAAGTGAATGGAACTAGCGGTACAAGATGCGATACATGAATGAAGTGTATCGTCTATAAATAAAAGTTTGATATGTAGCAGTTTTTTTTACAAGTGAAACCTGCAGCCCACACAGCAAGAGACTGAGGATTACAAAAACATTTAAATTGGAAACATTGTGAAGCCTTAACTATTGATACGAGAATATATGGGGCTTTTGTTGCCTATAAGCTAGCATGCAAACGCATGTCTTCTCTATGCAGGCATGTCCAAATCAGCTCACTACAGTCAGTATTTAGCTGACAGTGGTATGGCATTGGATAAAAGTAGTGAAGACAAAAATACTTTTGAAGCAATACCATAAAATATTAAATATTAGCATCATAACAAATTACAATTAGACACTTTGGCCCAAATTGCAAATACTTCAACTTAGCAAGTTTGCCAACAGCTTGGTTTACTATCATTAGTACACGTCCTTAAATAAAACATTAATGAATCTGTATTTTCAGATCATAATACTTCTACTCAAGTATATTAATGAGTAAAGGACTGTACTTTGGAGCTTTAGACCAAAAGAATCCCAAAAAAAGAAAAAAGTATATTATAACAAACTTTAGTTCCTATGCTGACTGATGCTGGGTTTACTAAGAGGTTCCGCGGCAGTTCTGTAAGTTACCCAGTACTGAAGTAGTTTTGGGACTTAATACTTTTGTACTTCTACTCAAGTTGTTTTTTCAGAAAAAAAGTATTTTTACTCGTGCCATTATTTTACCCAAGTATCAGTACTTTTACTTGAGTATTGATTAAGGCCAC